AAAGAAGAGCCAGGCTTATCATTCTTCAGGTTTCAGAATGCGATTGGTCCAGAAGTACAAAATGCAGCGATTTCTGTATATGCTTATGCTTCTTAGGTCGTTGTAGGCTACGTACGCACTCGTACGCGGCTACAAATCCAGACGGAAGTCGAATGTGGGGCGCATCCCAGAAACGAAACTGGTCGAGTGCCAAAATAATTTACACTTCTACCTATACTATACAATTGTACTAACTAATTACACTTAATTTAGAATGAGTAAAGATGCTTGGCATTAATTTCTCCCTTTGTGGGTCACGCCATGCATTCGATTTATATGTAGAATCGTAGCCACGAATTTGAGTGCACACAGTCCATGCTATAAATTGTATTCTTATTTTTGCCAGTATTTTTCATCTTCTAATATCTAAGAGACAGAACCACTAATTATACTTGAAGACAAGATCGCCACTTGCATGATCTAGTCTCTAATCTCTGGACTGGAGTAAGGAGAAACCTGAGAACACTTCCTGAAGATTGGGTTAATTTCAAAGATTCCTCTTAGCCCTTTCTGCCGAAAATTCGCCTGTGGTCGCCTGTAGACGACTTTTGCGTAAACTGAAGGCTGTCAGAACAACGTTATTCACTTGGATGAGGCTCGGCATAATTTTTGGATGGGGCTCCTTACTAATTCGAAAGAGTACCATTTTAACTTAATAGCCTCGTACAGAGGTCCAAACGCAGTACAAAATAGGACCTGCAAAAGGGGCCCAACAGCGCTCAGTCAACTCTAGCAGTTCCGATTATGTATTCAATATTTGTCCGAGAATTTGTCATGAAAGGCACTTACCAGGCTTCCAGCGCCAGCACGAAAACCATGATACCACCCTAACTGACGAATAACAACTAGCAGAACTTTATGAAATGGTGACTAGATATCTGGTGATGTAAAGATGTCACCCAGTCGACCCCTGAGATCATTCCAGTGTCATGATAGCCCGGATATTGTTGCCTTCGGATATGCTAAGGGTCTCGCTAGTAAACATCAGGCGGCGACGTCAAACCTCTGGTTTCTGATGTGTGAAATATAGACCAACAGTGCTGCCACAGGGTTCGTCACGCCACAGCACTGGGCGGTAATCCCACATACCTTATAAATACTCCTCCATTCCCAGTCCAGACATCGTCAGGCATTCCTACTCCCCTATTCCGGAGATCCAATGGTTCAGCTTCCAATGCTGAACGCAACTTCTTCTACGAATTCATCTACTGCCAGCTGGAGTGATCTAACTGGAGCTCAGCGGATTTCACGGTCCATTCTTACCCTGGACAGATTCGGCTAACTGAAACAACTCACTGTAAGACCATCCAGTAAAGCATCGCTGGACTTCACCGGGTGTCTTGCAGTGAGATTTTAGAATCACAAACTGATTGACAGTATGCCCAAGAGCTCACTGCAGGACCGCTCAGGTGAAGCTTCTAAAGACTTCACCGGGAATTCTGCAGT